GTATATGGCAATAAATAATAGTAAATAATACAACAATATACATACAATTACATGGGACTCATAACATAAATAGTCAAAAATTGGTGGTACATTGTACTGTGGCATTAAGTACCGTACTGTGCACCTCTGCCTGCCTCTTTGGGGACAATAGGCGTGATGTTATGTTATGTTTAAAAATACTGAATTGATATCAATTGATATTGGTAGGTATCAAGCATATAGTATCCTCTGGTGGTAAGTGATTAAAGTTCTGCCACCACCAAACCTTACCTTTCGCGACTTCTGAATAAAGCCAAAGTCCCAATCAATTTTATATCTAAAACATCATTTGTTTGTTTGTCTTTCTTGCACATCACGAGTGATTTTCAATGGGAATAGGATACATTTTACCTTTCGTTCAAAACTATATTATTTACTAGCACATTCCGTGCGATTTCACCCACTGCTCCTATTGCCTATAGCGTGATGTTTAAGTCTAATTCACTCTCCATTCCTTCAACTGTCTCCACTTTTTTATAAGCCAGTAAACTAGCAGATGGATCACCTGATGGTAAGCAATCGCGTCGCCCATGGACACCTGGAACACCAGAGGCGTTACAAGTGCGTTACCGGCCTTTGAGGGGTTAGGAATTTGAGGATCGTTAGGGATTCAGGAATGGGGGAGATTGGGGAAGGGGAGAGTAATTGGGCCTCCGGTAACGTCACTCACACGACGAAACACAACGCAAGCGTTGCTTCACGTCGGTTTTCTGTGAGGCCGTGTTATCACTCCGGTCGAGCCAGCTCATTCGTGCCGAAGCATGGCTCTCTCACACTTAAAAAATTACATTATTTCGGCGCTTTGTTTGACCGCGAAAGGTGGACAAATAAACAGACACATACACTTACTTTCACTAGTATGGATACCACTTAAACGAGCATGACAGATTGTATTTTTAAACTTGAGTATCTCGTTCAGTGAATGTATTTTAATCGTCGTCCGGTCAACGTATCGTCCAATTTGTAAATGTTAGACGAATTGAGTTAGTAGCGGTGGCAATAAGCGACCAGAAACTTTGGTTTTTCAACTGGAATTTGTGTTAAAAATGATTGCCTAAAATTTTTGATTGTTGTTCACTACAAACAAAATTTGGTATACTTAGAATGTTATGAATGCTAACAGAAATATGAGACATAAATTGCCAACAACGTTAGTAAGTCAAATTCTCTGGTGTTGCGGATCCATGTGCCTACAGCCCTAGATTATAGTATGATGACATTTTGTCTAATTGTATAAGTCATGTGTATTCCTAAATAGAGTAGTATCGATTTGTGCATCGCAATAAACGCACGTATATTGGCCTACTGTTTTACTGATACTCACCAAAAAAAGTACACCAAAAATATACCTCAGATAGCAAGTGCACATCGGTGACCCCGACGTGATCAACATAAACACAATCTCAAGCTATTTCATCAATCAAAACAACTCTACAACGATGTTGCAGTAGGGTAGTACACTGACCACTTACCATACCATACCAGGTGATACGCCTACTTGTTTGCTCCAGCTGTCTTGTAAACTACTAGAACTCATTATATATTTTTTTATTTTTTTTTATTTTATTTTATTTAGGTCAGCCAACGACTGTTTACACATCATTTTACAACAAATCGGTTTAGATACAATATTATGCATTTGCTAGTGTAACAATCAATTAAAGGCTAACACATCATGCTCAAGAGAATAGTTAGGTATTAGCCCAGGTATAAATTATTAAATTAAATTAAATTAATAAACATAAAACACAACTATTAAATTAACACAAAAATTAAATTATTAAACACAAATAATAGTTTCCCATAAACGGAAATCTATTTAAGGTGAACACACAATTAGAACAAACATAGGAAACAACAATAAAAATAAGAAAAAACAAAACAATTAGCATCTCATACATTATGCATTCTAGAATAGACAGACAAAGATTAGATTTCATCAAATTACAATAGGTTACATTAGGTTTCATTCACAACATAATTATTCATTTACATAATTAATTAATTAATTAATTATTCATTATTCATTTACATAATTATTCATTTATCCATTTACAATTACCTTAACAATCTTGGAAATACTGTCCTGGTTCAAATCCACTGAGTCACTGCAGCTATTGAGAATCCCACATAGCCTAGGTATAGGTGAGTTTCTGCCTAGTACAGACCTACGTTGTGGCGGGCATAAAGGCATAATAATATTTCTTGGGTATCTACATGGGGCATGGAATCCAACAAGACCCAACAATTTCGAACATTTAATTTTATGTCTCAATATTTTAAATAGAAATATGGCATCTGTGACATCTCTGCGTGTGGATAGAGTGTGCATCTTAAAATGTTGCATACGGGTTTTATAGGAAGGTAGCTGTTTATATTTTCCTTCACAAAAAGCTAAGTGCCACACAAAACGCTTTTGCACTCGTTCCAAACGCAGCATATGGGTGGCGTAGTGGGGTCTCCACACCACACTGCAATATTCTAATATGCTACGCACGAGACTGTTATACAGCATTATTTTTATACTACTTTTACGAAAGCTTCTTGTATTACGAATTATGAATCCAAGCATTTTAGATGATTTTTTAATTATATGTTCAAAGTGGGGAACAAAGGTTACCTTCCTATCAAAAAGCACACCTAAGTCCCGAATAGTTTCGCGTTCTCGCACTTTAACCTGATCAATATAGTATTCAGTGCCCATGTAGTTATTTTTCCTTGTAAATTTAACATGGTAACATTTGTCAGGATTTAGTTGCATTCTGTTATTTTTACACCACTCAATTACACTGTTAAGATCTTTCTGCAGAAGCTCGTTATCGTTTGGGGTTTCAATCATTCGTGCAAATTTCAAATCATCAGCATAAAGAAAAGGCTCTGAGTATTGAAAACACTGGGGCAGATCGTTAACAAATATATTGAATAGAGTTGGAGCTACATGTGTACCCTGAGGAGCGCCTGAAGTTATAATTTGCTCAGAAGATTTAAATCCATTAACAACGACGCAAAAATTGCGCCTCGTCAGGTATGATTCAAACCATTGCAACAAGGGCCCCGATATACCGTAAGCTGAAAGTTTATATATTAGTATGGTATGAGACATTTTGTCAAACGCCTTACTGAAGTCCGTATATATTACGTCAAATTGCTTGTTTTTATCTACTGCCTGAACTACTGACTCCGTAAAACTTACTAAGTTCGTTGCAGTAGATCTTGCCGTTACAAAACCATGCTGATGGTCGCTGAGGTATATTTCAAAATGACGCTGAAGATACGGGCATATAATAGATTCAAAAATCTTTGCAAAACCTGAAAGTATTGAAATGGGCCTGTAGTTTGAGATAGTGTTTTTACTATCAGATTTGTGCACTGGGACAACCCTTGCTTTTTTCCATTCCGAAGGAAAAGTACCTGATGCTAACGATGCATTAAAAATTATTATCAGAGGAGAAACCAGTGCCGCTGCACAGGAAGAAATAAATATTGGTGGGATATCATCAGGCCCCGGCCCCTTGGTGATATCAATTGTTTTTAGTTTATTAAGCAGACAGTCATGGTCAATTACTAGGGCGCTCAAACATTGACCGTTGCTATTCAGAGTCTGTAAGTACTCTGTCTGGCAATCCACCTCCTCCCCACTGTCAGATGTGTATACGGACGAGAAGTATTTGGCAAAAAGGTTGCAGATTTCAGAAACATTAGAGGTTACATTCTGTCCGTCAGTCATGGTCTGTGGGTAAGCACTTGATCCACCTCGTTTAGCTTTTATATAACTCCAAAAAAGTTTAGGATTACTTCTTATACCTTGTTCCAAATTTCTAAGGTAATCATTATACAAGGTCCTGGCTAATTTTGCACAACGCTTAGAGATTAAATTCAATTCGATTTTATCCATAGGATTTTTATACTTTTTAAAGCGTAGCCTCAACCTATTCTTTTCCTTCAACGATTTTATCATTATTTTGTTGAACCATGGTGGGTAACGACTATTATTTTGTTTTCTTACTGGTACAAATTTTTTAATTACTTCATACAAATGTTCGTAAAAAATAGTTACCATGTCATTTACATGATTACAATTGTTAAATAGAACACGCCAGTCTTGATCATTAAGATAACCATTAATATCTTTATAGTTTGCTTTATAGAAATTCGGTCTAGGAATGGAGTTATTATACGGCAGACAACGATTATTAACCGATGAAAGGGTTATATGAAGGGGTGGATGGAGTCTATCGATGACCGTCAGAGAGGAACTCGATTCCCTCACCGAACAGTTAGACACCGAAGACAACACCAGATCCAATGCGCGCCCAGAATAATTTTTTACGTGATTACATTGTACCAGGTGACTCATATTTACAAAATCCACCAAAATTTGGCTAGTTTTAGGCAGAGAATCATTAATAGTCTTTAAATCCCAATTGATTTTACCCTGATTAAAGTCACCGACAATGCAAGTAGGAATACTTGTTGAGTCTATAAACTTGTTGCAGTGTTCGACAAAATGCTCGAGGGTTGCCGGACTCACAGGCGGAGGTAGGTAAATTGCACAAAGGGCCATTTTAACAGGTTTTTGAGAGAGCGATATATCAACAGTGACCCAGAGATCTTCACACTTACTTTCCCAGTGTACTATACGTGACGAGTTAATCTGTTTATTCACCGCTATCAATACTCCACCACCATCCTTGTTACCTGTAAATCCCGCCGTCTCCCTATCTCTCCTGTATACTTCATATCGCCCATCAAACAACTCACCACTCAGTACACTGCTATTTAACCAGGTTTCCGTTAATATTACTATATCATAGTTCTGACAACACAAATTACAATAAAAAGATTTTGTTTTCGTTCGCAAACCTCTACAATTTTGATAATAAATTAAAATATCATTGAATTCTATAAGTATTTGATCATTACTTGCACTAAAATGTAACAAAAACATAAATCATCCTATGTTATACCATTCTACTTAGATTACTATTGTTCCTAATCTGAATATGTTCGGTGCCCTCGTTTTTCCTCACAAATATTCTGCCATTTCTAACCCACACATATTTGTAGTTCATTTCTTTTGCTTTAATCCTAGTAGCTGCGTGCAGGGCTCTGTTAGTTGGTGACAGGTGCTCTGCAACATATACCGGAGATTTAGGTCCAGCATATCCAAGATGGCTACTATTTAGCTTTTCTTGTGGGTTTGACTTATTAAAATGTATAGTTGCAGCAAGTAGTTGATCACGCAGCTTTGGTGATGCCAGCTGAACAATGATTGAGCGGGGACGAGTACTGGAAGAATTGGACTTAGCAACACGTGTGCAGTGAGGGATGTCCTTATCACTAATTTCGCATTTGACTACACGTGCCAGTTGTGTTATTATTTTGTATACGTTTTCATTTTTATTTTCAGGTACACATTGCACTTCTAAATTATTTGAACGGGACTGCTGTTCCAAGTTGACAAATCTCTCGCTCATGCCACCCATTGCTGCCTTCAGTTCCGCATTTTCCGCTTCCAAATTCATAATACGCTCATTTGAGATTTCCTGTTTCTTCCTTATTTCCTCGAATTTTTCATTCATGAAGGACATTGAGTCGCGCATTCCCTGCATTTCCAACCTCAGCGGCTCCAATTCTCTGCTGATAGTGCCAACAATTGTTTCATTTATCCTGACTAACATTTCGCTAAGTTCTTCACCTATTATTTCCTTTATAATACAACGAATGTCATTTTCCTTACTTGACGACGAGGGAGGAGACGGTGAGGCAATGGCTTGCCTTTTAGGGCCCCTGTTCATCGAGACGTTACGTATTGGTGTTGAATCGCTTCGGCCCACTTTCGGGGCACTACTCATACAAGTCGGACATTTCCAAGCGCTAATGTTATTAGGGGGTTCTTTAATGGAAATACAGAAGTAGTGGTAAGACCTCCCGCAAGTTGAACACAGAAGAAATTTTTCCTGTAAATTTGCCTCATTTCCACTCTCGCAGCAACCCCAACGTGCATCCCCACCCGCCATCTCGAGCCCAGAACCAATTGGCGATCAAGAATAAAAATAAACAAAAATTCTCGAAGTCGTCCCCACAGAGGCAATGCGATGCACGCACAAAACGACGCGCGAATACTGTCGCTTAGTCTTTGGTGTGGGCGGTCGCTTGCGTCACTATGCGTTGGCGCATGCGATTATGTGTCTTCTGCGCGCGATCGAACAGCGAGAATTCCGCGCAGCGCGCGCAAACCGACCAGTCATTCACTCGACAGCTGATCGGTTGACACTTAGAACGTTCAACTGTTAACTCTCAACAAATTGAGTTTATGCACTGCACTACTATTATTTCCCCAAGAATTCACTTCACTGATGTTATATTGTCACTTAGTGGTAGTTTATTCTAAGATTTACAAGAATTGAGAACAATTAGACTAATTTAAACACAGAGCAACAAAACACGTGAGTTGACCGTACCAATGCCGCGAGATTAATTGATCAAAAAAATATATACTACTTACGTATACGTAATTACTGACGCAGAGCACCAATCCAGGCCTTGCTAATTAATAATTTTACTGACATTCACTTTACAAACAACATGAAATAAAAAAGACACAAAAAGCGAATAAAACAAGAAGATTTTAATACATTTTTTATTTGTTGTAAACAGTCTTATATTCGAGCGATGAGTTTACATTTTTTTTTCATTATTATACATAAACAATATTTCAATTTGGCTGGTTTTTTGTCTAAGCGAATACACGATCTAATCTCACAATTAATTATATCGTTGTCTTTACATAAAGATACATCTTACATAATAATATTTACAAGAATTGAAACAATGTAATTGAATTACGGTTCTCCAATTTTTCGAAGCTTTTTTCGTATTTGAGTGTGATGTTGGTTAAAGAGAAGTTTTTCATCTAAATATAGTAAACCTCTCGCACGTTTATTGTACACACGGGTGTACGAGAGTGACTTGCACCGATTGGAAACTTTTTCTGTGATGTACATTTTCAAGTTGCAACCCGTTCTTTATTTGATTGAAAAGAATAGTTCATTCGTTTTCTATTAAACCCGTGTACGAGACGCGCGAGAGGTTAAGTAATTAACCAAACAATTTAATAACAATTAATAATAACCACAATCATTTAATCACTACTTAACCCAACCCAACATTTGTAATCGGAACAAAATCATTACTAATGCACACTATACATGCAGTTTTAATTGTATAGTCGAACTGTACACTTAAATAGTAAGCTGTGTATAATGTATGGTTTTATAATTTAAAGGTTCGTTATTCATTAAATGAATAGATTTCATTTATTTCTTTCCACTATTATTTTATAATACAGGTAAAAATTTATAGTTTTACTGTAAAACTTTGAAAATAAAAGAGTAAAAATTTAACACAGCCTAAATGCCAAATGGCCGCCCTCAATATATGTAGTTTCAAAGAAGCGGATATAAAAAATAATGGTAACACGATACTTTGATAACTGGCGGTAACAAATTTATATTAAAAAAGAAAAAATATATGTAGGTATTATACGAAACATTTATGATATGGGATCGTATAGAAATAAACTAAATAAATCATGTATATTTCCAAGCAATTTCCTAGAAAATAAAATACGATTTTCCGATAAACATTTCAACGAATTTCATTTTTATTTAACAAATCAAATGTTCCTCGTAAAAGACAGCTTTTGTATCTTTTAATCAGTCATGAAATACCATTTTTCCATAGAAACATTAATGTTTTATAGGAAAAAATATCAATATAATGGAAAAAAGGAAAACACCTCTTACTTAATATTTAATAAAATTAAATACAGTTTATCTATAAATAAATAATAATCAGCACTACACTATTTTAAAATATACAAAATGATAGAATCGTGTAACACGTATAAAAATATTAAATTCAAACTTAATACTCACACCTTTTCCCAGTATTATTGTATAAAAATTATTTTTATTATTATGTCACATGACGAAACTAATAAACTTATATTGTACTTCTTGGAAACTATTTTTTCTCATCCAACAAAATTAATTTCAATGAATTTTGAAAATCAATTAAAAAAACTACTTAAAAGTTTTTTAATACTAAGGTTTGCCCACGTTGCATCATTTGACGATCGCATGCATCCATCACCAAAAATAAAAATAAAATAAAGATTATTTATTATTATTTGCAGACACACTTGTACAGATGGGTTGTATAGATGAGCACTGAGCATACTATCAACATGTTTGACCACTACTGGTGTACAAAATTAAATGTGGAATACAATATGAATATCTAAAAGATAGTCGGCCTCCAAATGAACAAATATTTGCATCTTGCTTAGAAACAACAATAACTGTCAACAAATTGCCAATATCGAATATGGAACGATTTTTGACATGTGGGGTTTCTATAAAAAGTCGATCTTAATCCACAGACAGGTTGAGATAGGTTAATTGAAATCAGAAAAAAGCGGCAATGTTAGGCCGCCATGTTGACGCAATGTGGACAGATACCCTTAGCCTCCTTAAAAACTGTTAGAGTCTACTCCACCATCACACCCAAACAACGTCCTAACAAATATGTACAAAGTCACAGTTACTACGATAACAATAATAGGGAGATCACATAACACAACACAACAGTCAGTGTTCTCTCCTCGAGGACTGAACCACTTCCTTTAGCTGCCTCTGTTAGACCTGCAAAAAAATGTTCCATTGTATTCAACCATCAATACCAGTATTCATTAATATATTTTTGGGCTAATCGAGTTATCATTTATCTATAAGAACTCGATTTGTTTCAAGCCATACTAAAAGCCCATATCCATGAGCAGCATTCCGTGATACACGATGCTGTAACTGTCTAGCACGGCTGGAAACTAGTCGAGTTCTTCGTCAAATGATTACTACGTGATTAAGTTGAAAAAAGATATATTTATGTATGACTAATTTAGTATTCCGTAAGAAAGTTATAATGTAGATACCAATAATACAGAGAGAAAATATTTATTAATGACTAAGAATACGTGGTTCCGTACTAAAATTGTTGCCTGTGTGGTTGATACCGTACGTATACAAAATGTTGAGTCTGTAAACGTACATTTTATATACAACTATAGATACATATCGTATTCAGACTCAAAACAAAAATTATTTGTTGATCAAATAAAGATTTGTTTCGTGCAGTGATTGAATCCTTAATACATTGTACACTTGTTTTCATAACAATCGTGAGACGTACTAAATTAACTAAAATCGCGTAAAACTAAAATAACAGTCAGCTGCGCGACGACGCCGCGACCGCGCACGCTGCTCATGAGGAAGAACCCCTCTGTGGTTCGAAACTAGTAAAGCTTTTCTCAGTATATTCACGTGAGTAACCCGTGATTTTAGTTACATTGCACACTAGCCTATGACCCAGCCAATACGAATTGTGCAGTAAAAGTTGGACCACTTTAACTGGACCGGCTTGAAAAACTGTGTCACCAATAATGACCACAAAACACCTAGAAAATATTGTCCTGTCAACGTAAAATAAATTCAAGCACTCACCGCCAGCGACACTGATCTGATTGCCGAAATCTTCAGCATAAGAGTTCAGTTTTATTTCTGTGAACAAATAGTTTTGTTATTAACATTATAGTCGTTTAATACCACTTATAGGTGATAGTATAATTCCGATATTTTGATTGCTCTAACTCGGTTTAAATCTGGAACTTTAAGTAACAGTAAGTGTGAAGTAAAACGCAAATATAAATAATGTTATTCAACATAATACCACGCCTTGTATCCCCAAAGGAGTAGGCAGAGGTGCCCATTTACGGCACTTAATGGCAGTGTACAATGAACACCAACTTTTCACTATTTATGTTATGAGTCCCATGTAATAGGGGCCTATTTCCATATACCGGGCATATTTCCAAACTCCGTGCTACTAATCAGATTAAAAAAAAATACAGTAATACTTTGTCAGGCCCGGGAATAAAGTCCCTTGCACAGCAGTCGCAGTCGCACTTGCGACCACTCGGCCAACGAAGCACTCAATATTAAAAAAAGGTAATAATTAGAGTGTTTTTTAACAACTTTATATATCTCTTTTCATGGCCTTGTCCATCTGTAATCTGTCTGTACCATGTATTAGAACATGTAAATGACATTAAACTTTAATACAACAGACATAATTTCCATATTGACTTGACAAGCAGAAATAATTAACAGTCAAAATACAATAACACAACTCACCATAAAGTCTAAGAGTACCCTCGCTCTTTCCTAATGAGTTGGTACTCACACAGTTGTAAGTACCGATGTCATTTCTCGAGAACTGCCTGATGGTGAGCCACATCGTCACTTGGTATGACAACTTCTCTTCTGTTATTGTGTACTTAGGTCTGTAACAAATGACACAAATTATATAAAGATAAAATTATATAAAAAAAAGCCTTTTGCATCGATAAGGGGTATAGGCGAAACAAATATACGGATCCCCTGATGATTAGAAATCAGAACTGCACATAGACACACACACAATATCAGACTTTCACAAAGTTCCTTAAGGTTTACATATAACCTTACATTTAAAAAAAAATAGGGAACAATAATAGAGCAATAATGTGATGCTTAGCTAAGAGAACCTTAGTTTTTACAAAATTACTAAGCAACTAATGAGGTCTGATGTTCTAAGGTATACCATGAGTCCATAGCATTCCACTACAATCTTATTTTAAAGGGGAAAATCACCCAATTATTTCTTTTGCCTTGGGTGAATTCAGTATAAGTTCTGAGTAAAAGGTATTTGAAACTGTCATCTTTATATAATCCGTTGACAAACTCTTTGATGTCCACTTCCAGGAATTTGAAATACTTAGAAGATCGTGACAGTTTTCCTTATCCCTCCTACCCAGAATAAGTCAGATACAACACATACTCTAACATCATGTGTTACAGTACTTTTGATTGATAGATATTTTAGAATAGAATGCTAAAAAGCTTTCAAATGAGTATACTCAATACGAACATGCTTCAGCAGTTTACGCTTGCTAGCGATAGGCTCGCTCGTTTCATGTTACCTAGTAGTGTTTTTTTCATAAATTCTCAGTAGTAGCACGGAGTCTGGAATTGTGCCCGGTATATGACAATAGGCTCACCCCCTATTACATGGAACACATAACATAAATAGAGAAATGTGGGTATTACATTGTACAGTGTCATATGTATACCTCTGCCTACCCGTTCGGGGATAAATTATATAATATGATGATGAAGCTATGTTAGTTTTAAGTATAACCTCTTATACGCGCTTAAACACGTGTCTACCAACATGAGGGGACCCACGCCGCAGAGATGCTCATAAAGCAAACTCCTCTATCGATTCACAAGCACAGCCGAAATGATCATGCTAATATTGAGCAAGTGACTTTAAACATAATAAAAAGGTGTTGGGTTAAAATTATATACAAAAAGAGTAGAAATACATAAACACAAACCAACCTAAAAATACACTTTAATGACAGCATTCTCCAACATTTACAGTACATCCAGCTACCAAAAAGTACCACTTTACTTTATAAATATTTACGCACAGTAATTTCAACAGAATGACTGAATGTCGATACATAAAATGTAATGTATGAGTGGGTTGTGTAAATATGCCTCGGGGTGTATTTATAAAACAAAACAGGGGTCTAAATTTCGAAGAGAGGTTTGTTAAGTTCATTTCTTTGATGTATTCGTGCAAGTGTGAATCGTTTGTTGTTTTAAGGGATATTGTGATGAGATGAAGTGAAGTCATGTCAGAAGTTTGTTCGATTATAGACAGGAATAATCAGGCTGGTTTCTGAAGAAATATGAGGTAAATCAATTGCTAAACTGTGTGTTAAGAACAGATAAGTTTTAACCGACTTCAAAAAAAGGAGGTTTGCAGTTTTACCTGTATAATTATATATGTGTATGTATGTGCGCGATTATCTAGCGATTGCCTGAACTGATTTTGATGCTGTTTTCAGAAAAGTGTTTGTTACACTTAACCTCCTCACGCCGGGGTCGTCGCGAGAGACACTCCGGGCGTCGGGGATCGCGAGACGATCTCCGGCCACCTTAAGCTCGGGCCTGCGGACGGCGAGCACGGGTGACTCGTCGCCCGATCAGAACTAGGCCCGAGCGTACGGCGCGTCACGTTGACCACCATAGATGGGGCCCAACAGGGCTGATACCGGTACGGAGCGTTAACGGGTTGCCGGGGCTCCGGCTCGAAGTGCAGGAGTAGGAACGGGGTGGTTTTTAGTCAGTAAGAGTCTGACACTCCCTCCCGCCTCAACCGGGCGGGAGAAGACATTGAATGATTTTCCCCCTCAAAAAAAGGAGGTTTTAATATATTAATTAACCAACTTCAAAAAAAGAGAGAGTTGAAGTCGGTTTTTTTTAAATCTAGTATAAAAAAGAAAATATATCAGTAGCCACTATGTACAGATACTTTGGTTCATGTAATTAAACTTAAAATTCGAGAAATTCAGACGACTGATTTAATCAATAATACGTCTAAATAGTTTCAATATCTTCAAAGGTATATTGAAACATTTCTACATATCATATTAGGATTGACACGGGATATTTTGATAGCGTATTTTGATCAGTAATTCGAAACGACCACGAATACCAAAAGTTAACATCTAGACTTGGCTCTTTAAAGAGGTTATTCTAGGAATTTCCAAACACTACTAGTTACATTGAATATTGAAAATGAAATTGTATTGGACTCGTAGTTTCCTATGATTTTCATTTAACAAAACCCATTGGAAAGCTTCCTCGTTATCAACTGAACCAAATAATTGAATGTTCGCTTGTGATCTTTTGTGTTGACACTTCACAAACATGGAAGTAGGAATAAATTATTTTCAAAACATTTCGTTGTTTGTATAACAAAATTTTTATGTAAGATCGCGTTTCATATTTGAAATTAATTTTTGCTGCTTTCGTTGATCGTATCTATTGTCGTGAGTGCGACTGCCAAGCGAGAGGGTTGATTCCCGGGTTGAAAACATTACATAGCTTTACATCACGCGTTATCCCTAAAGGGGCAGGTAGAGACGCACATTACGGCACTTAATGCCACTGTACAATGTAACACCCACTTTTCATTATTTATGTTATGAGTCCCATGTAATTGAGGGTAGGCCTATTGCCATATACCAGGCACAATTCCAGACTCCGTGCTGCTACTGAGATTTTTTGTAAAACCCAGTAATACTTTGCCCGACCCGGAATCGAACCCGAGACTCCAGGCCCGGCAGTCGGACTTGTGACCACTCGGCCAACAAGGCGTTGTATTACGTCCATTTCCAGATATGGGGAAAAAAGACGTGCCTACATGTGGGTCTTTCTGCTTCAGTATTCAACCATCCTCTCTATGTAAGATTAAGCATTCTCTTATAGTATTCATATTTTGCTCTTAAAAGTACTCCAACTTACCCATCAAGTAACATCTCTCCTCTATTCTTGATCCAATAGTTGATAGTGTTCGGATGTGCCTCCACGTAACACTTTAATTTGACGTCAGTGCCCAGGGGAGCACCCAACAACTGATTTGGCACTTTCACCGTAGGTGCAACTGTTGACAAAGAAAATAATTTGTATTGTAACTTTCGTGAGACGAACTGAATAAATTATTATGTTTTCGGCTTACTCACGTAATAGCAGCGCGACAGTCGCTGCGTCGCGGGTCGCGTAATGCTGCTCATGAATATGAGCCTCTAGAATGGCTTGAAACTAGTCGAGATCCTCGTCAAATCATTACGTGAGTAAGCCGAAAACATAATAAAGAAAATAATGTTTTATACAGGTAACAAAGAATCGGTATAATTGCAGGAGCTCTATTAAGTAAGTAGGATTCGAGTAAAAGGTTTAATTGTCATACTAATAATCTCAGCAAAGGCTTTGAAGTCAAAGATTTTAAACTTCAAAATGTGTAACCATTCTGTTCATAATGGACAGAATGTGTTTGTACCCAGGATCCGAATGAGTCACAAATATCATTAAATGAGTGACTTATACACCTACACAAGATCCAAGCCAAAAGAGAAGTATTATTTAATAATAAGTATAATTAGAAGTATAATTTAATAATAAGTGTGGGAGAGCCATGCTTCGGCACGAATGAGTCGGCTCGACCGGAATGATCAGCCTCACAGAAAACCGACGTGAAACAACACTCGCGTTGTGTTTCGTCGTATGAGTGAGGTTACTGCAGGCCCAATTACCCCTCCCCAATCTCCCCAATCCCTGAATCCCCAACAATCCTCAAGTTCCCAATCCCCAAAAGGCCGGTAATGCACTTGTAACCCCTCTATTCTTTCCGGTGTCCAAGGGTGACGCTGATTGCTTACCATCAGGTGATCTTTCTGCTTGTTTATCCGTCGGCGAAACCCATAAAAAAACAAATGTTTAGTCAACATTTCCGCCATCATTATCAACTTCAACAAGAAAGGTAAAAAATCTGTTTTCATTTTCTCCAAACCGAAGAGTTATGTTCTCACTATAGGAACTGATGAGGGTATGGAGAGATCTTTATTGAGGTAACAGCTGTTCACATCGAGACATTGGAAAGGATCCCAAAGGATTCTAGGAGTGTCAAATATTTTGAGAATATTTTCTAGATATTTATGACATTCTACTAAAAGGAAATTTTTGTTCCTTATGTATTTATTGCCTAATAAAATTACTGATAAAAATCTAAATTATACTAACTATTTATAATTCATCATCATCATCGTCAACAGCCATTAAATGCCCACTGCTGAGCAAAGCCTCTTCTCACACGAAGAAGGTTTGAGCATTAATCAATACGCTTGCTCAATGCGGGTTGGCGATTTTAAAGTTATAATTAGAAATTATTAGTCCAGGTTTCCTCACTATGTTTTCCTTCACCGTAGTGTGTCAGTGGTGTCTAAATGACCTTAGAAAATACATATTACTCGGAAAAAGTCACATTGGTACTAGCCGTTGATAGGTCTTACACCTTCAGTCCACCGCGACATAATTTATAATTACTTTCTATAAATTAAATTGTAGTACTCAACAATGTTGGTGTCTAATTAATTTTCACAAATCATATTCAAGACCCATATTATAAAAGATCCATGTTGATGAATAATCCTAAACTTCAATAACAATACAACATTATCCTTGAAAAAGGTTGTCTACCTATATTGTTAGATCTCTCATTTATGTAAGTAGAGCTTCGAGAAAAAGAGACCAAAAAATACTTTTTAACGTCTGCAACTAAAAGATAATGCTCAGGGGTCTGTCTTTTCATTATACGTCATTAAAATTCATAGAATATGATTAAATCCCTAGTTTTATACTTGTTTGAAATTTTAATACAACTTCTCTAAGCCGTTGTTGACTGCAGTTAATCTTATGCCGTCAAAAGTTCTTTCAATTTACACTTTCAAGATTATTAATATATTTCTTGTTGGTGTTAATGTATACAAAGTTTTAGTTAGTTCGTAACGCTTCTCATTTATCTTGAGACGACTTGCTGAACACGAGATATTAGTTTCAGTATTTGTTCAAGAAATCTATTTTACTATTATTTACGAACTGCAATTTGGTCTTATCTCTTACATTCTCAACAACATCAACCACGACGTAGGTCGTCGCGCATGCAGTTCATAATTTATGAGCCCCTATTGTAACTTGAAAGCAGTCGAGCAACTTCCCCAAACAGTTTCACCACTGAGGCCTAATTAGTGTCCCAATTATTATCAATGACTCTCAGTAATCAACTTTCCAAAACATTAATATCATATCAGGTATAGCATTTTTTAAGAATAATAATAAGAATTTAACCTAAATAATGATCAGATTGTGCAGCACTAACGGGGCTCTTAGGAATGTGACTATTGATCTTAAAAGAACTACACAGGAACAATTGCGTATCAAAACAAGTGCTTTCAAAATTGAAAGATATATCTTGCATCTATTTCGAAGCTGGTATACGTTGTGAAGTCACGTATCCTTGTTACTGCTAGAGGGAAACTTATATCATTTTGGATGCTATCCAAATTCGTGACGGTTGGTCTCGTGAATGGATTATATTATTCAAAGTGACAAACAAAGAGGGGTGGTTTATATTGGTTTTTGGGGTAAGGTATGGTTTTGAGGGTCGCCTGATAAGACTGTGATGGGAACTAAAAAAAAACTGGTTCGTCGATCAATGTTATTACAAAAATTAATTCCGAACTTCTTGCTCCGTTTCGGAATCTTTAAATTACGGGCAAATTCGGATTATTAAATCACTATTGGGTTAGGTCAGGTAAATGTTGTGGTGGAGGTTTAAGACTCCCGATTCTCATGCATGCGGGTGCAGGCTAGAAATCTACCAACGGCAAATACCAATGTGACTTTTTCCGAGTTATAATTATGTACTTTCTAAGAGTATCTAGACACCAATAGCAAACGGTGAGGGAAAACATCGGGAGGAAACTTTATAATTTATAAGGACTTATAATGTCTAATTATAAGTTTTAAATCGCCAACTCGCATTGCTGATGTATGCTGATGGGTTAGGTCATTTGACTTTAAATCTTTGACTGTCAAAAGAAAACTGTTGAAGGCAATGGCGTTTAACGTGTTACCTTATATCAAAAATACGAACCTTAATCATCTAAAACAATATCTACTTGATTTAATATTAAGAAAACTAAGTTTAAATATGGTCGAGTTTCACGAATCAAATGCGTTCGAATCAAAAGTAATTATTTCGATAATCATAATAACGGGAGAGTTAAATGAAAATACACCTGACCTATAAACGTCAAAAGGACCAATTCTAAATACCGAAAGACAATAGCAACTTCGGCTAGGACAATAAATGGGTGGAAATTGATTGTGGAATTTTGAGTTAGAATAAAACGTCTATCAAAGAACTAAGCAATCACAAAACTAATTGAATTTCCTAGAAATCGTAGAACAACAAGAAACACAAAGAATTCATTGTGATTGCGGTATAGGAATGTGGAAGAATTTCATTCCATGATTAAGTATTTAAGTAATTTACCCTTGAAATTAATTAATAGTGATTAATGATAATGGTGGTGTCGTGGTAGCCCGAAGGTTTCAGACGCCCGCTTCTCATGCACGAGGGTGTGGTTTCGAAACCTACGAACGGCAGGTATCAATGTGACGTTTTCCGAGTTATATGTACTTTCGAAAACATCGTGAGGAAACCTGAACTTATAATTTCTAATTATGAGTTTGAAATTGCCAACCCGCAATGAGTAAGCGTGGTGATTAATGCTGATACCTTCTTTGTCTAAGCGGTGGGCAGATATAGGCTGTTGAATATTGATGTTGATGAATGATATGTAACTACTTACAGTTAACATTAAGTATGATCCGCTTGCTGACGGCAGGCGGCACGTCGTTGGCCGCGATGCACAGGAACGCGCCCATCTGCCGACGGTCTACGCGCCACAGTGGCAGCGAACTGCCCACGTAGCTCTCCACTAAACAACAAAATATAATAAATTAAAATGATTCATAAAATTATTCGTTTCAATCAACTTAAATAAATAACAATTGTGGCGACACTATGTCATATGTCAAAATGACCGTCCGCGCACTTAAACTATCGTAAAGAAAAAGAAGAAAGTGAAAGAAATCAACGGATGACGTCACAAAAATCCTACATCGCACATAATAATATGAAGTTTACATGCGAATTAACACGAATAGAAAATCCCAACGAACAACTGTTGGGCAGAAAGCCCGCCAGCCACGAACACCTCGCCAGGTCGGAGGATCCTCCTTTTCCGATCTTAAGGAATTCTACTCTCTATTCCCTAAAGAATTCAAACCCATTCTGACCGAAGATTTAATAGCTAGACCAGTACAAACATGATAGAAACGTAAATAAATAAAGTAAGTATAGTTACAGATTACAATCAAGAACCTAAGTACGCTACAAAGTCGTTGATCATAATGCCTAGTGTTACAGCAGGAAATACCTATATGGTATAATAGAGGCTTACCGTTTATAACCTTTCGCGGAAGTCGTAACAGTTAACTGGGGGAAATAACTGCTACAGTAATGAAAACATTTATTTTATAAATAAATCTTAAACTACATAGTTCTAAATGTGAGTTGTTATAAAGACAAAGTTTCATTTAAGTTTTGGTTAAATTTTTGAGTTTTACTGAAGATAATGTTGTTTTTTGATTGTGTTAACTTATATACTTTTCAGATTTATAAAACAGTTGCCTGCCTCGTTGGCAGGGTGCGGCTGCCGGGCATGGGGTCTCGAGTTCGAATTACCGGGTCGAGCAAAGTATAACGGGGTTTTAAAAAAATTTCAGAGTCTGGAAATGTGCCCGGTATATGGCAATATGCTCACCCCCTATTACCTGCACTCATAACAAAAATAGTGCAAAGTGAGTGTTACTTCTGCGTGCACCTCTGCCTACCCCTTCAGGGATAAAAGGCGTGATTTTATGTTGTATAATAAAATAGTTTAGGTATAGTCAATTATTTTGTTTTTCGGCTTACTCACGTAACTGTTTTTTTTGACAATGCGGTCTACGATGGAGCACGTCGTCTCATAAGCTTTGACGAGGAACTCGACTAGTTTCAAACCATGCTAGAGGCAGGTTTATTTTCATGAGCAGCATTCCGCCACCCGCGACACTGCGACTGTCGCGGTGCTACTGAGTTAAGTTTATTGTCGTATTTTTTTATTTTAGGGGGTAAAATCGTCGAATGCCTGGCCAGGTCTGGGTGTTATGTGCATGTGATATTGTATATTTGTAAACGCACCCACGATACAGGAGAAAATCCTAGTATGGGGCAACGTTTTTTAATTTTTAAATTTAATTTTTTCCATCCAACCAATAACAAACTTAAAACAAATCTATCTTTCTTTTCTACATGTCAATAGTCTTCCACCTGTCCTACATACATCATATATTACCAAATGATCAATATTAAAGTAATTATCACCACGATAGCGTTTGTCGGACTAATAACTTAAGTAGGTTACACGCAAACATTGAACGTTGGACTCTCCTAGCTCGTGAATGCAGTTAAAACTGAGTAACTTCAAGTTGAAATGAATAATAATGGGTTCTGTGTGGTTTATTTAATTTATAGTTATATTTGTGTGGTTTTTTAACAAAAATTTGCCCCACACTAAAATTGTCTCCTATGTTGTGGGTTTGTTTACAAACATATAACACATACATCACAGACCCGAATCAGTAATTTGTGGATTGCACAAAGAGTTTCTCCTTATGGGAATTGAATTCGCTACACGTTGCGCGGCAGCCACTTTCCCAGTGACCGCACCAACTATACAGTTTTAAAACCATTGTGATTGCTTTGTATTTGTCTTTTTTTACGGGGGGAAATCATCGAATGACTGCTACCTGCCTGCTGAACTGCCTGAGTGAGGCGGAAGGGAGTTTTAGACTCTTATTGACTAAAAACCACCCCGTTCTACTCCTGCATTTCGAGCCGGAGCTCTTGTCTTTATCTTGCATTTATTTACGGTCATTATATTGATATCAATTTATTAATTGTTTGTAAAATATCATATTGTGTCTAATTTTAAATTTTTTTCGCGCAAGCAATCAAGCGGATAGTAGTATTTGACCAAAATCTGTCTTTGGGATATCTGTACGAAGTTTCTTGCTCGTTCCTCTCCTTGGAATGAGCAATTAGCTCCACTAGAGAACTGACCGACAGGTTCATATATGTATTTGATTATTTTTGTTTGACGTTCAAATTTGTCTTTCTGGTCTAATTGGAATTTTGATTTTGGCTTTGACTTTGGTATTATAATATCAAAATTAAATGGAACATAATTGAAATCTATTCCAATGAGTGTCCACAAGAGGTACAAAAAACTAGCACACGCGTAAATTGGAACCATCGTATCGGAACATCGTTTCATTTCGGACTACAGAGAGAAACATCAGAAAATCACAGATTTGTCTCAAAATATGTAAGTGCAGAATATTGATCACGTTTCAGTCATCCAGATACTAAACAATATTACCATCGGAGACCATTTCATATTTTGTCAAAGGAACTCTAAATTCAGACGTACATATAACAATAATATATTCTTTATTTAAAACTATTTCTACTTAAAATAACGATAAAAGAAATTTATACGTTGACAGGAATGCCGCATAAACGTGTTTGCAGTTCAGGCGTAAAGAAAAAGCATTTATTAATGTATTGTATTTATTTTACTTGGAAAAAATATGTTATTAATGGAATTCCGTGTTTGTTTAATGTGTTTGCTGAACGTGTAATATGTTTTCACTTTTTTCTGTTTTCAATTCTAGTAAACGTACCTAGCTATGAAGTCAAGTTGAGTGACATTCAATTGTAAGTTTTAATGCTATATTTTTATAAATTAGATTACTTTGCACATCAAATTGTTTCAGTACAACTAGGGTTATTGTAGTAGTAGTAGTAGTAGTTAGTTACCTAGCCTACCTAGCTAGCACTTAGCAGTATTGAATGTACGTACCAAAAGAATGATAATGATAATAATGAACGCATATTAGGAACCGTCTTTTACCAAATATTTCATGACTTGCTATTAATTAAGTAAAATCGCGGGTTACTCACGTGAATATACTGAGAAAAGCTCTACTAGTTTCGAACTGAGCGACACTGAGCTCAGTGAGCTGCGCGACGTCGCGTCGCCGCGACCGCGCACGCTGCTCATGAGGAAGAACCCCTCTTCCTCTCTGGTTCGAAATTTTAGTTAGATAGTTTAGTATGTCTCACGATAGTTATTATAAAGACTTGCTGTTAATATCAAAAACTTAAAATATGTCTTTAGCTAACTCGGGATTTAATTGGAGCCTCAAGATGTCTACTGCTGAACCTAATGACTCCCCCAATGACTTCCAGATAGGCCGGTTGGATACGACCTGCATCAGGTCGTCTCCCCACCATGCAGGTCGCCTTCCCTGGCACTTTATGCAGTTAAATAAATACGTCATATGGTATGTAAAAAAAAATAGAATACCATTATAACGTTCTCTGTGTTTTATTTTATTTAAATTTCTAGCTTCATTAAATAGTCAATAATAGTCAGCAGTCAAAAGCAAAGAAATAACTCAACTACATCTTATAACAAAAGAAATACCAACTTACGAAGGGTTTTTCCAAGTGGATTTATCACAATAGTCCATCTATTTAAATCTAGATATGAGTCAATAACACATTGTCCTATTTAAATTCAACGAGCATTCAGACCATAAAGCGATTTTTTGAAATGAATAGAATAGATCCCCAATAATAGATAAGGGTTGAATTTATATTAGAACTTGTTCGTTCGATGGTTAAGTGGAGAGAAATAATGTACTTGTGGACTGTATAATACGCAATATAATAATTAACTAGACTGTTACAATAATGGTTATAAGAAATTGAATATAACTGTGGTTTAGAAGGCGCGAGCGCGGACGTGCGTCGTAGTGTCCAACAGCTGACTGGCGAGACGGCGGCCGTGCGGGGCAGGCGGTCGTCGCCGCGCACGCCGCCGTCTGTCGTCCCCTCCAGTGCGCAGCGGAGGCCATTGAGTGCATGACTCAACA